GAACGCGATGAAACTCAGGGGATTCCTCGGATTAACAGGATACTACCGGAAGTTTGTCCGTCATTATGGGGCCATCGCCAGGTCATTAACCGAATTGCTTAAGAAAGGAGGGTACCAGTGGAGTGAGGTGGTCGAACAGGCCTTTGTAGAGCTCAAGCACGCAATGGTGACAACGCCGACCCTTGCCATGCCAAACTTCCAACTTCATTTTTTCATCGAAGCCGATGCGTCGAGAAAGGGAACCAATGCAGTTCTCTCGCAGCAGGGGCGCCCAATTGCCTACATGCGTAAGGTGCTCGGCCCAGCTAAAGCAGCTTGGTCCACTTATCATAAAGAAATGCTGGCCATCACCACCGCAGTTGAGATATGGCAACCGTACTTACTTGGCCATAAATTCCATATTTATACTGACCAGAGGAGCCTAAAGTATCTATTGGAACAGCGCATCGTGACACCGGACCAGCACAGATGGGTAAGCAAGCTACCGGGGTTCGACTACGAGATACATTACAAGACTAGGCCAAGAAACCGGGTGGCAGATGCCCTTTCGCGGCATGCAGGAGGACCGCAACTGGATTCCATCTCCCAGCAGTTCACCTCACTATGGGACGAGCTACGTGCGGCACTCGAAACCAACCCCTATCTCCGTGATGTTCGGGACAAGGCATTGTCAGTAGAACCCGGGCACTATACATATCGTCAAGGCTTGGTTTTCTATAAGGGTCGGATGGTTCTTCCCCCACTCACCAGCCTGGTGACGATGGTGATTCATGAGTTCCACGATACGCCAATGGGTGGTCACTCGGGCGCGCAGAGGACGCTGGCGAGATTATCTGGCCATTTTTATTGGCCGCAGATGAGCAAGGCTGTACGGGATCACGTGGCCTCATGCGATGTTTGCCAGCAGGTGAAATCAGACTCGTTATCGTCGGCTGACCTTCTACACCCACTTCCGATCCCATGTCAGGTTTGGGAAGACATATCGATGGACTTCGTTGAAGGATTACCTCTATCAGGACGGCGTTCTTTATTGTTCGTAGTGGTTGACAGGCTGAATAAATATACCAATTTTATGTCCTTGGCTCATCCGTATATATCTCGTAAGGTCGTCGACGAGTTAATCCAAGGGATGGCGCGTCATCACGGGATACCGTCCTCTACCATCAGCGACCGGGACGTCATCTTCGTTAGCCTGTTTTGGAAGGAGTTCTTTAGTCGTACGGTGACTAAAATCAACATGAGCTCCTCTTACCGCCCACAGTCAGATGGCCAAACGGAGGTTGTTAACCGTTGTATTGAACAGTATTTACGGTGCTTTGCACACCAGCAACCGCGATGTTGGCACATGTTTCTTCCATAGGTGGAGCTCTGGTATAACACTTCTTTTCATTGAACTATAGGCATGACTCCGTTCAAAGCTTTGTATGGGCGAGACTCGTCTAGTATTATTCCCTATACAGGTGCTTCCAGTTCAGTGGAGGTTGTAGACCAGTTGCTAGGAGAACTCGATGTCGTGCTCCGTGAACTCAAAACGACTTTAGCAGCTGCCAATGAATACATGAAGCAACGAACGGATTTAAAGCGGCGAGATTTGTAGTTTGATGTGGGCAACTTGGTTCTTCTCCCTCTTCAGCCATATCGCCAACACTCAGTGTTTCGGAGAGCTTCCCAAAAGCTAGTTGTACGTTATTTTGGACCGTATCCCATTGCTGCTAAGGTTGGCGCGGTAGCCTATCGTTTGCAGTTTTCGGAAGGAGTGAAGATCCACCCTGTTTTCCATGTTTCATTGCTACGACCGTATCGGGGTGTGCCACCTTCCGCGCCAGTCGAGGTTCCGCCAGTGTCGGATGATGGGGATGTTGTTATTCAGCCGGCCGAGATACTCGACCATCGTTGGGTGAGACAAGGTGGGCACGTCGTGGAAGAATGCTTGGTGCGATGGACTTATTTGCCACCAGATGATGCGATCAATTTCCCAACATTGACCTTGAGGGCAAGGTCGTTCTTCCGGAGGGGAGCAATGATGAGGCCAGGCCGGCCATGCAGCCCATGCACGACGAAGACCCACCTCGCTGGTCCGCTAGTGTATCAAGACCAAACCCTAAGTATATTTGAGTGTTATGTTAATTGCTATTTACGTATTCATAGTAGGAGAAGGCTCTTGGCTTGTAAACACTATTTAAGACCCTAATGTCATTATGAAAGGCAACTTTTACCAAAATCAAACCTTAAAGGCTCTCTGCGCCTAGCAGAACAACTCCCACTCGTGAGCTTTGAGTTCATCAATCTCCACCTTCAATATGAATCACCCACTAACACTTGTTCGATTTGTACCCGAAGCCTTCTGGAAATCATAACCTTCTGGTGATAACTCGTAAGAAGAATAGTAAAGGGAGGCCAAGTCGGAAGCATTGGATTGACTATTTGGAGAGCAAAAACAGCCGCTAATTCATCGGGCGATAAACACTAACAAGAGCAGTAACAACTCGTCGGACTCTTCTCAAATTTCCCTATCATACACTTAGCTTGCCGGAGATTTCAACAAAAAATCTTGGGTTCCCTTCCACGCATACACCCTGGCATGTCAGACCCATATATGTTTGGGCCACCAATGACCCGACAACGTAATGGGCCAAGGTGGCCATTATTTTATTGAATGGCTACACAACTAAGTTTTCTACTAATAGATAATTACTAAATTATCTTTTATTAAACAAATTAAATTCAACAATTACAAAAACAAAATTCAACAAAAATAAGAAGGATGAGTCTTCAAAGCGGGCTAGGATCAGGTGACTAAGGAGGGGGGGCCTTAGTCACATGACCAAGTCAATCTCAGCCCTTCCACCTCATTAAAATCGAATGGTTCATATTAATCCATTTTAATGAAGGACATTGTAGTAATTATACAAGTTATTTATTTAATCATTAAAATTAAAATATGTTGGGCCCACTTGCGATTAATTCTTCTCGGCGGTGGCTTTTTGGCCGGCCTTTTTTTAATTCCACGGCGGTGGCTTTTTTACGAGAGAGAGAGAGAGAGAGAGAGACGATTAATTATTCCCGGCCAGCCTTCAACGGCGGCTCCTCCCCGGGATGCCATGGCCTTCTGGCCATTCTTTCTTTTCTTGGGGATTTTTCCCAGCGGATCCAGGATTATTGCCATGGCCATTTTATTTCTTTCTTTTCTTGGGGATTTTTCCCATCAGCTACGAGAGAGAGAGAGAGAGAGAGAGAGAGAGAGTTTTCCGGCGACCGGAGGAATTTTTTGGCGATAGTGTTGGATTTGTGATGTTTGCTGACCTATTTTGTAATGTTTGTATAGATTCGGTTTGTATTATTTTTCATTTTTAGTGACATTTTGTACGGTTAGTATGCTTTGTACTGTTTGTCGGTTTATTTTGTAATGTTTATACGCTTTGTTATTTTGAAATGTTTGTCGGTTTTTTTTTGTAATGTTTGTAAACTTTGTTATTTTTGTGCACCATGTTTATCATTTTTGTCAACCATGTTTGTAATATTTTTTATGTCTAGAAAATAACTTGGTTGACTTTTGGATGGAACTCCTCTATATAGGGATGGAGCCTCCAAAGACAACCCGGGTGTTTTTTCCATTTCGTATGGATTGTCGGTCTAGTTTGTCATTTTTGTCCTCCATGTTCGTACTGTCTGTATGTCTAAAAAACACCCGGGTTGACTTTGGGAAGGAGCCCCTCTATATAGGGATGGAGCCTCCAAAGTCAATCTGGTTGTTTTTTCTTTTTGTATGGTTTGTATTGTTTGTCGGTCTAGTTTGTATTTTTTGTACAGTTCATATGTTTGTAATGTTTGTAAATCTGTTTGTATGTTTTGTTGCTCTAGTTTGTACTGTTCGTATGTTTGTATGGTTTGTACTGATTGTAAGTCCGGTTTGTATACGTCGTAATTTTCCATAATACCCAAACTACCCCTGTCATTAATTAAATAGCCCTTCCCACTTTTTAACCATCAGATTGATGTGTCCAGATCTAAGGGCTGGGAGGGGCTTAGTCAAGTGACCAAGCACCCCCCCCTAGTCACCGGATCCGCACTCCTTCAAAGCCAGTAAAGTAACGGATTGGAAAAGTCGTGATCCCTATTAGAACAACTACCTCCCACAATGTGTCGTCTGAATAACCCTCCCACCGAAATCACCAAAATCTATCCCTTTTCTTCATCACTGGAATCCACTCCCTGCCATCGTCTATCTCAGGCGCATGTGTCCCTTTTCCCTCTGCGATGACCATAATGGTGACCTTGATGAAAGGTGTTCGGCGGTTGAAATCAACAACGATTAGTTGTCGACGGTAAGAATCAATGGCAAATGGGCAACAGAGGGTATGGCACCTTCTCTTTGTCTCTGTTGCGATGACCATAACAATGATATTGATAAAAGCAGCCGGCGGTTGGCGGCCAACAGTGGGAATCAGTAGCTGACAGGCGGCGGCGGGTAATAGCTCCGAGAGATGGGTTTAGTTTTCTGTGTTTTTTAGAATAATGATAGAAACAAAGTTTCTATCGGGTTTGATATTTGGGGATTAGGGTTTATGAGCACAGAATTAGAGATTGAGATTTCGGGAAGAAGAACATATTTGGCCTCGGCCTTAGGGATTGGGATCGAAAATTGAGATGATAGGGAGAGGTTAGGGTTTAGGAGATTTTCTTAATATTCTTCTTATTTATCTCAATGAAAATCCAAAGTACATATTTATAGAAAACTAGCTAGAAAACCTAATAATAAATTACCCTAATATTAACTATAATAATAGCATAATAGAAACCATAGGTTTCTTGTCCTCATGGTCACCGTTAACGTCAATTTTCTTGTCCTTTCTCTTTCTTTGTTTCCAATTGCGCTCAATCTCATAAAAAAAATCTCTTTTCTCTAACTTCCTCGACCTTCAATGTCTCTCCCATGCCTTGATACTTTCCCTCTTCTCCATATCCAGATGATTCCATCTTTCTTGTACCTCTCTGTATTAACGCTTTTGAAAACTTTAATTGGATGCTCCATAAATCTCATCTAATAATGATCCCAACTCGCCAATGTCTCATTGTCCCTCGGGGCATTCAGGCTTCCATTTTTATCATAGTTTGGCGGCTATCTCACCACTCCTGGCGCCGGGAATCGCAAAAGGGTTGGTGATGCCCACGCCCGAGGTGAATTCCCACGCCAACTCCGCAATGAGCCAGAATGCCCCACTTGCCTTAATGGTTCTCCCTTCCCGCTATTGTTCCGGTCCTCTCGATCCACCCTAGTGGAGATGGATGCATCTCCTTGTCTGGTCGATTAATAAAGCAGGTCACTACCGTGTTGTGCGAGACCATGCCAGTAGTCGAGTGTTTGCGAAAGGATGGAAGCCATAGCCAACCTCCTTCGTCTTCTTCTTTCTCGCCGGCATACCAATTCTTAGGCGGCAAGAATGCCCGATGGGCTCCACCATTAGCTTCCGTTCACCTGCTTCGTCGGTTGTCGTTGCTACTGGATCCGACCTCACTCATACGAGCGCATCTTCCGGGATGATCCTAGCTCCTCGGTCACCTCAGACGCCGGCCGATGCTGAGCCGCTGCCAGTTGTTGTGTTCCTTTTGAGGTTTGCGAGTCCGACGAAGCAACTAGGTTGCTCGGGAAACTCGTTTCTACCTCTCCTTCGTCTCGCGCGTCCGTCGCGGTGCGAAGCTCCGTCTTCTCGATCGCCGTCAACATGACTGGAGCTGCCTCACGGGTCTTTTGTTCCATCATCTCCACGAAGATTGTCGGTGGTGTCACTGAGGGAGAATGGGCGACGCTGCTTGCTCTTCTTCTCATGTTGTCAGTCTTTTCTTACAGAACTTGCACGGAGCGTCGATTACAACCCTGCACTGTATCATTCGACCCTTCAGTCCAACTCCTTGGGCCCCGGTCGTCTTTCTCCTTCTTTCCTTGAAGCTTGAAGTAATAAGCGTTGTCGCGACGGTATCAGCTATTAGAGAAAAAGAATAACTATTCTTTGTTTTTTTTTTTTTTTTTTGCTCATTATTCGACCCCCAATCTTTCCTTGTAACCTCTCCACTTCTCCTGTACTCTCTCCACTATCCCTCAATCTCTCAACTGTATCTCCTGTAAAAGTGTATAAAACAGAACTCAATAAACAGAAGCAAATCACGTTGGATTGCATTCTGATCTTTCCTCTCAACAAATCTTCTTTCTCAACATGGTAACAGAGCTAGCAACGATCAGTTAGTCGATCCATTTTTCCTTCCTACGTCTCTTTCCCTGTTTAAAACTCTTTTTTCTTTTTTTTTTCTTTTCTCTTCTCTGCCATCGCCATGTCTGGCGAATCAGAGGTTCATGACAGCGCTATCTCTCCCGCTGTCCCTACTCTTGTGACATTCAATCCTGCTGCACAACTTCCATTGAAGTTGACTCCGTCTAATTTAGCCTCCCGGCGCTCCCAGCTCGAGACGCTGCTCCTTGATCTGGATCTCTACGGCTTTATCGACGGCACTACTGCTGCCCCTGTTCGCACGATTACGGAGAATGGCGCAACCAAACCCAATCCAGCCTTTCAGCTTTGGTTCCGCCAAGACAAGTTGATACTCCATGCCCTGCGATGTTCGATCTCGGAATCGATGTATTCTTTTGTTTCAAGCGCTTCTACATCTCGCACTGCCTGGTTGATCCTGGATAAACTCTACGCCAGCAACGCTCAGTCCCGTATTATCCGCCAAAACATCCAAAGGCGATCTGGACATCTTGGCGTTCGTGAATGACTTGAAAAGCACAGCGGCGGAGCTTGCACTCATTGGTGATCCCGTCTCTGAGCTTGCACTCATGGTGCTTTTGCTGCTGCGATTCGTGCTCGGGCACTTGGTCTCGTTCTGGAAGATTTGGTCGACTCTCTGGTCGAGTATGAATCGGATATCAAGGCGCAGATCAAGACCCCTGTTCCCACTGCATTCTTCACCCAGGGGAAGAGATATGGTGGCGGCAGCAACTCCTTCGGTCGTGGCACCGGCCGCCAGCAGCGTGGCCCCTCATCTCCGCGCGGCCCTTCCTCTTCGCGGGCCTCTTCTCATCAGGCCCATGCTGAATATCCAAGGGCTTCAGGCCCACAGGCCTATGACTTTTCCACTAATGGGAAGGTCTCACCATCCCAGCGCCGGCCCACTGTCATTTGTCAGTTCTGTGAACGTCCCGGCCATATAGTACGTCAGTGTTTCAAATTATTTCCACACGAACGCCAAGCTTATCAAGCTCGTCAAACCTAGGCGCATCATACCACCGCCACTCGTGACCCACCATCTGCCCCTTGGTTGCTCGATTCTGCGTCATCCCATCATGTTACTCCAGATCTAGGGAATTTATCCCTTTATTCACATTACAATGGCCCTGATGAAATTCTCGTCGGTGATGGCACAGGTTTGAAAATCACACATATTGGGTCTTCCCTGCTCCAAAATTGTGCTTTACAATTACAAGATGTACTTTGTGCTCCTGCCATCAAGCGTAAACTTATCTATGTCGCCAAACTTTGTCGTAATAATCCCGTTTTGGTGGAATTGTTTGCTGATTGTTTTGTTGTGAAGGATCTTCGCACGGGGGCGCCTCTGCTGAAAGGAGCAAATAATGGGGATGTTTATGAGTTGCCGCATGATATGGATATTGTCCGCCTTGCTCTTGTCAAAACCCGCACCTCCTCTACCTCGTGGCATGCTCGTCTCAGTCACCCTTCCTCCCATTCACTCTCCAGCCTCCTTCGCACACATTCTTTGCAAGTATCTTCCTCACTTGTCAGTAGGCATTGCGATTCATGTCTTTCGAATAAGAGTCACAAACTCCCTTTTGGTGTCTCTTCTTTATCTAGCACTAGACCGTTTGATTTATTGTATACGGATGTTTGGGGGCCCGCTCCGGTCACCTCCATTGATGGTTTTCGTTATTACTTGATTATCGTAGACCATTTTTCTCGCTATACATGGTACTATCACTTACAACGTAAATCTGATGTTCTTGATGTGTTTCTTGCCTTTCGTGCGATGGTTGAAAATTATTTTTCCACTACCATTCGTCGTCTTTATTCCGATGGTGGTGGAGAATTCCAGAAGTTAAGTTCCATGTTCCTTGCTCATGGGATTATTCATCTCCTTACCCCTCCCCATACGCCTGAGCATAATTGCCTGGCTGAGCGGAAACATCGCCATCTAGTTGAAACGGGTATCTCTCCTACATCATGCTCATTTACCTACCATCTTTTGGTCTTATGCTTTCTCTAGTGCCATTTACTTAATCAATCGGTTGCCTTCCTCTGCATTACGTGGCCAAATTCCTTATACTGCACTTTTTAACATTGTGCCCAATTATCATAAACTTCGCATATCTGGCTACCTATGCTATCCTTGGCTACGACCATACTCATCCCACAATATTGATCCTCGTTCTCGTCCCTGCTAGTTCCTCGGCTACTGTCCTCAGCGGAGTGCGTACAAATGTTTCGATGCTCATTCACATCGTGTTTTCCTCTCCCGCCATGTTCACTTTGTTGAAAATTCGTTTTCTGGCTATTTATCTAACCCTCCTGGAGAATCATCCTTGGTGACGTCCTGGATCACGGACACCGACCCAAATATCACCACCATTCCATTTCATGCGGCTTCCCCATTTGCTCCTGCAGTACATGCCACCCCTAGCGACGGCCCTTTGCGCAAGACGTCAGCTCCTAGGCCAACTCAGTCCACTGGCCCGTCATTACTCGCTGGGCCCACGCCCTCCTGTGCACCTAGCCCATTGCCAGCCTCCGGCTCCCTACCCTCTCTTCAGGCTGCCCTAGGCCCCGCATCCACTACTGGGCCGACCCATCTCGCTGCTCCTTCATCGCCTCGGCCCACTGTCCAGCAGCCCACTGCTCCGCCGCCCCTCCTTCGCTCCCATCATATGCAAACATGGGCTCAGTCTGGCATTCATAAGCCCAAGCGGCTATTTCTTGCTCTTTTTACCACTCGGTCCCTGCTTGAGCCTCGCTCTGTCAAAGAGGCCATGCAGTATGCTGAATGGGACTCCGCCCTTTGTCAGGAACACATTGCTCTTCTTCGCAACCATACTTGGGACCTTGTTCCTCGCCAGCCTCACTTCAACGTTTTGGGTAACAAATGGGTCTACCGGATTAAGCATCACTCTGATGGCTCTCTAAATCTCTTCAAATGTCGCCTTGTTGCAAAGGGTTTTCATCAGCGCCCTGGTGTGGATTTTCAGGATACTTACACTCCAGTGGTCAAACCTGTTACCGTCCGCACGGTCTTCACCATTGCTCTCTCCCAGAATTGGCTCATTAAGCAGTTTGATGTCAACAATGCCTTTCTTCAAGGGCCGCTTGATGATGAGGTATACATGGTCCAACCTCCTGGTTTCATTGATCCCTTATATCCAAACCATGTTTGCAGACTTCGTCGTGCTATCTATGGCTTACGCCAAGCCCCTTGGGCTTGGTACACTGCTCTTAGTTCCTTTTTGATCGAGTTTGGCTTCCGGAAGACAGAGTCTGATGAGTCTCTCTTCGTCTATCAGCAGTCGGGTGTTATTCTCTATTTTCTGGTCTATGTCGATGATCTTTTACTCACCGGCAATGATACTGCCACTCTGTCAGCCTTTCAGCTCGCTCTTGCTCACAGATTTTCCCTAAAGGAACTTAGTGATGTGAATTACTTTCTGGGCATTGAGGTTATCCCCACAGCAACAGGCTATATTCTCTCCCACCACAAGTATATGACTGATATCCTCTCTCGCTTTCATATGTTAGAAGTTTCTCCCGTCTCCACGCCACTCGCCTCCACTGTCTCTTTATCCCTCCATGATGGCACTTGTCCCATTGATGCTACGCGGTTTCGGCAAGTTTTGGGTGCTCTGCAGTACCTCATCTATACCCGTCCAGAAATTGCCTTCTCCTTCAACAAGCTCTCCCAGTACATGCATTCCCCATCCTCCCATCATTGGCAGTGCCTCAAACGCTTACTTCGCTATGTTTGTGGTACTATCTCCTACAGCTTGGCCATCAGGGGATCCTCCCTTCCTATGCGTGTGACGGCCTTTGCCGACTCTGACTGGGCAGGCAACCTTGATGATCGCACCTCAACTTCGGCCTATCTAGTGTACTTGGGATCCACTCTTAACTCCTGGCGTTCTCAGAAACAACGAACAGTTGCTCGCTCAAGTACTGAAGCATAATATCATGCCATTGCCCATGCGACTGCTGAGCTGGAGTGGGTCCGCAATCTATTGCAGGAGCTTCATCACCCGCTCACCGAGTCTCCCACTCTCCTCTCCGATAATCTTGGTGCCACTTGTTTCAACGCCAATCCGGTGTTCCACTCTCGCATGAAGCATTTGGCTCTTGACTATCATTTCGTTCGTCAACTTGTTTAGTCTGGCCGCCTCACTGTCCGATATATACCAACTGCGCAGCAACTGGCCGACATGCTCACCAAGCCCCTACTAGCATCTCGGTTTATGCTTCTCCGGTCCAAGATTGGAGTCGTCGTCACCTCCTCCATCTTGCGGGGGCGTATTAGAGAAAAAGAATAACTATTCTTTCTATTTTTTTGCTCATTATTTGGCCCTCAATCTATCCCTGTAACCTCTCCACTTCTCCTGTACTCTCTCCACTATCCCTCAATCTCTCAACTGTATCTCCTGTAAAAGTGTATAAAACAGAACTCAATAAACAGAAGCAAATCACGTTGGATTGCATTATGATCTTTCCTCTCAACAAATCTTCTTTCCCAACATCAGCAACATGGGAAGACTCCGTTGGGGATGCAATGGAGGACGCTATCGTAACTGCCGGAAACTGCAACGGTTCATCGAGGTCCTCCACTGCTACGTCTTCTTCATTGAGGCTGGTTGGGGTGATTTTAGCCAAGGAATTGACCGCCACCACCATCGTCGACTCCTCGGCGGCTGCCAACCCGAGATCGAGCGTTGTCTCTCCCCTAGCCGCCTCTTCTTCTTCGGGTCGTTGCACAGGTGGCCATGCTTGGAGCTGAGTCAGCTGTCACTGTCCGTCGGCTGGGGACTCCACTTGGCATGACGGTGACAGCTCCTGACCGCCCGCCTTGCTCCTTGTTACGGTTTCTGCCTCCCTACGCACAATGTACCTCCGCTCCCAAGCTAAAGCGCGTTCATCCGCCTGCCAAAGTTTCTCCAACAACTGAGCGCATTCCAAATCGGCAAGCCGTAACGAGCTCATTCGGGATTTTGATTGAAAATCAGTCGTCATTGGTTGAGATTTGCGAATAACTCGCTCTCAGAACCGAGCTCTAATACCTATTGGGTTTGATATTAGGGGATTAGAGTTTATACGAACAGAATTAGGGATTGGAATTGGAATTGGGATTTGGGGAAGAAAAGAACAGAATCGGCCTTGGCCTTAGTGGGATTGGGATCGATAATTGAGAGGATAGAGAGAGGTTAGGATTTAGGAGATTTTCTTACTATATTTCTTATTGATCTCAACAAAAAGCCAAAGTACATATATATAGTAAACTAGCTAGAAAACCTAATTATAACCTAATACGACCCAATAACTAACCCTACTGATAATTACTCTAATATTAACTATAATAATAATAATCCCATAATAGAAATTGTAGGTTTTTATAAAATAAAATATCTAAAATTAAAATGAGAGAAATAAAAAATAATAATTTTACCGTTTAAGCAGGGGGGTTTCCTTTTACCCTATTCATTAGAGTCACATTACTAGGGTATTTTTGTAATTATTGAGAACTTTGAGTGTTTTATGATTTTAATAGTTTTACCTTTATTTTTTAAATACTTTCATTCCTTTACTTCCATTAGAGTATACACATAAATAAATCCAACCACCCGGCCAAAGCGATTGAACCTGGTGTTGATGAGTATTGGGTCGAGAGCGAGTTTTATCCGCTTTTGTAAATTGGCAAGTTGGATAGGGTGTGGATTGTGTTAAAAACTCAACCCGCTTTCCATCCAACTTGCATCCAAAAAAATATCCGGTCAATATCCGGTTGAACAAGGGTTGATGAGTTGGGTCGAGTATGAATTTTTGTTAAAACTAGGCCCGCTTTTCATATTTTGTGATTAATAGAAGGGGTAATACCACTGGAAATACCATCCTTTAGCAAAAGTGTCATTTATATTACATGCTTTCAATAAACACAAAAATATTTTAATCTATTAGAGGTTTGCGTCATTTGTGTTACGCGAATTTAAGTTGACCGTTAGAATTTACGGTGGCCCACTTTGTGTCCATGTAGGCGACACTTGGAGGTCATGTTGGAAAAAATGCTTAAAAATTTTAAAATTATTAATTACTCTATTACAAAATAAATATTCTTTTAACCCCACCCACCCTATCTTTTTACAACATCGGGCCTCTATTCCCCCAACTCGACGAACGAACGGAGGTTCTCTCCTGCTATCTGCGTTCCAAACGACGACAACAGCGGTGACTGTGCCGACAAAGCTTTGGACGGCGGCGACGCTGGAGCTTAGGCATGCGCTCGTGGCTGTACGGCTGTGGCGTTTTGAAAGGAGGCTCTTGCGGTCGAGCTTTGGAAGGCGGCGGTAACAGTTTGTTGTTTAGGCGCCACAGAAGGAAAGACGAAGCAGGTCAGTTGAAGGGTGGAAGAGTGGTCGTAACTAAGGGTAAGAAAGTCAAAATCAGTCTAGATTACAACCAATTCCATAAGATTCAACTTTATTGAACGAATTTTTTTCAATTGTGGTGCGAATGAAACCCTAATTTTTTATAACAGTTGGTTTGGTGACCATCACAACCATGTCTGGGCGAAGATCTAACCACAGCAAAGCAGAATCAAGTTCTGCCAACTCATATGTAGTGAAGTGCAGATGCAATATACCGACTACTATAAATGTATCTGGGACAACATATAATCCAGGGAGGGAGTTCTATTGTTGCCTGTATTGGAAGAACAATGATAAGAGTTCTAGGTTTTTTCTATGGGTTGATCGTCTATCGTCAATGGATGACGATTCGAAGATGAAGCTCGTTGCTATGTTGAAAGAGAGATTGAAGGCGGTAGAAGCTAAGCAGAATGAAGGAAGAAGGAAAAAAGTGCTATATTCTGAGTTAGTCAAGACTAGGGATGAAAATGCCAGGCTAACTACAATTGTGTATTTTTTAGCAGCTTTACTTATCAGTGTTATTGGTTGCTGTTGTTGGTTGAAGTGAGTAAGTTGTTATGAAGTTGATGCTGTTTGTTGACATTGGAATGAAGTTAATTTTTAGTCGATGATGTTTGTTGCCAATGTTTGAAGTTTCTGTTGTAGTTGACATTGTATGAACTTTATGACTCAATTCGGGATGTTTTAGCATGATGTTTGTGCAATATCGTAGAACGTAGACCTGAAAACACATTGAAACCATATAATACTTTGGATATATCCGATCTACCAGAGTCTTAGTAACCTAGCAAAAGCATAGGAAGAGTTAATCAAGTTTTCTCTTCAAACTTGAAGAGTCTACTCCTAACAAAAGTATAGTGCTCTTCAAATCTGGAAGAGTCTACTCCTAACAAGGCAGCATACATAGTGCCATAACAAAAGCATAAGCAAGGACTATTGTTTCCTCACATAACAAGAAATTTTACTAACTGGGCAACACACATATCTTCCCTATACTTATAGAAATCAAAACATGACATTAATCTTGGGTTGCTGGTGGCTGGGAACCACCTGCTTGGTCAATCACATCAGCTCCTCCTCCATTGCGTGCACCTCTAATGGGTCTGCCTCTACCACCTCTAGCAGATATGCCCCCACCTCCTGCATTCCTTCCTCTTGTGTTATCGCCTCTTGTAGCTCTTCCGGTTGCATGCATCTAATAACAACAGATAATCAATAGTTTGTCCTTCACATATATGCTAAAAAAAACTCTCAAACAAACATTACCATTGCATTGACTTCATTATCCATAGCTGGATTCTTCCTTGGTCTGCCACATGGCTGGCGTTCTTGTGGTTGCTGCAGGTTTGATAGTGTAAGACGTACAGCTTGAATGACCAAAAAATGTAAATAAAAAACAAAGAGGTTACATGAGGTGCAACTGGATTAGGACATCCTCTTTTATTGTGTCCTTCGCCGCCACAGTTTTTATAATGCATCACGATATTTTTCCTCCAAATGGCTATTCCTCCTCCGAATGGACTGAGTGTCAAGCTCACCCGCCTCCTTCCGCCGATTCTTCTTAGGACGAACCGACATAATCCAAACCTTTGGAGGATACACAGGATACCTCTCTGTCGTAGGCCATGTTTGTCAGCCATCCAAAGTAGGCAACCCTCTTTTGTAGGCTTTCTTGCACTCACAAACAAAGTAGAACTTACGCACGAAGAGGCTAGGGTCTAGCCTGTTCTAAGCCAATGCCGAGACAACATGTTCACATGGGACCCCAGTTAAACCCCAATACCCACAAGTGCAAGAAAATTCCTTCAAAGACACAACATAACCCTCGTCCCCACGAGATAATTCAAAGTTATCTTAAAGTGAGGGCCTTGTCTACCACATCTTAGCTAACTCCTTACCCTTCTTAATCTTCTTTCTAATCCTAGGGCAGATTGTATCCTTAAGCTTCCCCAACTTTTTGTTCTTGTCCACTATCCTAGCCATCATTTTTTTGCGAATCCCTTCTAACATGTCAATTATTCTAAGTTCTCGCTCCTCTACGATATAGGAATTGAAAGTCTCGCATATGTTACTTTCTACAGCATCACACTTACAGTCATGAGACATGAATTCCCTACAGAACTTCTCGGGCTGCTGGTCCATGAAGTACTTCAACAAAGTGGGGTCTTCTCTGCTGTTTTGAATAGCTTCCATTCTGCTTGTCACGGCTTGAAAAGCTGCCAAGTTGGTTGCATACACAGCACCCCAGTACAGATTTTGGAAGGATTGTCCCCTTGTTTTGGATTCCAGACATGTCTCGCACACTTTATGTGGTGTGCATCCGACATTATCCTTGAAAGAGCTTCAATAAGACCCTACAATAATGTAAGACATTTAGCCTACATACAATAAGAACTCAAGATGTGAAATAAAATAGAGAATTAGTTATACCTTTTGCGGGTCGCTTACAACAGTCCATCCTTTGCCATCTCTAGTCACCAAATCCTCTTGCAACACACTAATAAACCAGCACCATGAATCTAAGTTCTCCCCTTCTACAACTTCCCAAGTGATGGATACATACGATTGTCCCCATCCTTGGCAACGGCAGACAAAATCATCCCATTCACCTCACCATTCAGAAACGCTCCATCAAGAGAGAATATGGGCAGACACTGTAACACCCTACTACTTTTCCATATTTAAAACCATTTAAATAACATACATATCATCATCAGCAATTTACCAAAATCCTTAAACTCTTGGTCTATAACAAAATTTTGGGAAAACCCACTTTCAAATGTCTCATGTAAAACAATGTGGAGAGTTCAGTTTGCTGCCCACCTCGCCATAATCAAGCTTGAACTCGGTTCGTCCCATGGAATTCATCCATTTAGCTATTGATCTGGGAAAAATATTGACTGGGGTGAGATGTCACTCGATGAGTAAAAGCTAACCTGTTATCGTAATTAACATAAACAAGGTATTAGCAATCGCGGTTAGTGTTATACCCCTTTTTGTTCTCTTTATATCAGTACCTTTATAAACATTCACCACTCACACATAAACACATATAGGACAACACAAATTCCATAGTAGCATCATACCCATTTGAACATCGTCAATCACAACTTAGACACACACATAAAATGATTCACAATAAACATACGCACATACAAACATCCATAACCATTCCGGCCTAGCCATGCACCATCATCATCTTTCCCACCTCCTCTTCCTCTTCCACCTCCTCCTCGATGCTTAGGCTTCACCACCTCCGTCGACCTAAAGCATCGGTGAGTTCCTCCCATAGCCCGAGCAATTGGCACATACCCGAATATATACACAACGTCCTTACTGAGGACTTATCACATCATCATTTTCTCCAGGTGCATGACTAACCATTTAACACACACATACAAA